TCTAACTGAATGGTTGGAGTTTTAGCAATACATAGGTGACGAAAGCGTATCGCCTTTGGTAGGTTGTTCTTCACGTTGCAGATCATTTTGAAGCAGGTGTTTGTTGAGATGGAATTACGAGTGTTGATGAGATGGTCGATTATCGCACCCCTTATACAGCGACTACTATTCTTTGTAGTCATGCAGGAAGGTGTTCTTGAACCCCATTGAAAAAGGATAAACGTCGAACAACCAATGTACCTAATTCGATAGCAACAGATGAACTAATACATGCACACGGAAACGGCCGGATGTGAGATCTTGTTCTTAAGGCTTGTGAAGATCAATGGACGATTGGATAACAATACTCCTAGGGTTGATGTAAAGAACATTCTCTTCAAAGATGCTGAAACTCTTCTCCCAAGTGAGAATATAGCAAGTTAAGTCTCTCTTGAATTCCGGATTCATGTAAAGTATCTCTTTTGAAACAAGTGCAGCTTTGGTTTGATATTTTTCGCGGTAAATCTTGACCGGTGTCCATTTTCGATGAAGTTTTCCTTCAGAAGATCCAGTTCTGCTTTACAAAAATGTCAGGATCGTAGATGCATTGGATCCCACTCTCAAGAGATCTAATCAGATTTCGTTTCCTATCAATAGGTATCCAAATGAAGAAACTTGTTATTTGACCGTCCCAAATGGGTTTTTTATGGATTGACCTTTTTAGGTTCCATCGGGTCTTCCTCTTAGTTGAGTATCAAGAAAGAGAACTTTGGATTAACACTAGAGTGAGTTTTTTTGATGGACGGCAGTTGTTGAACATTTTTAGCAACTGAATTCGATCGTAACTGTTGTCGCAAAAAGTGTGCAAGCTATCGATTACTGGCAAAAATTCTTTTATAAAAAGATCTCAACGCTTCGTATCTCGATCATTTAACTGATAAAGTTTTATTCATTTGAACAAATGATCTATTAGGCGTTCATTATTGCGACTATTCACATTTATCCTCAATAAAATTTAATTTGTGTCTGCTGATAGTCCTTTTCGATTCAACTAGACGGCAGGTGTTGTTTTAGTTGTTAAATGAAACCTCACTGGCTTGCATCTTTAAAGAAAAGTTTTGTTCGCTAAATTTGGAGGTTTTGAGTTGATTATTTCACCTCTCGTTGACTGATTACTTGAATAAACTCTAGGCAGCTTCTGAGACCGATGAGGCTGTCATGCGAATAGACCTTACATGTCACAGTTTCATCTCTGAGTATTGTTACATCTTCTTCAAGAAATAGATCTTCTATCAGGCGCAGTCACATTGAATTATAAGAGGAGAAGCGGGTTACAAATTGACTGTTAGACTACTTGGCAGGATGAGAGCGAGAACTTCAGGGGAACATAGAGAAGCGGAGATGTGATGAAAATAACCAACAGACTATCAACAACAAACATCAATCGTTAATAGTGAATACATTTCAATAAGGTCATTTGGTTCACTTATCTGGCCAAGTAGCTTCGTTTCAACCACAGGGGAGAGCACGGTTTCGGATAACACTTTGGCATTGGAAACTATGGGCACTGGGTTTGAGCTTCAGTGGAAACATCATCATTCACTAGGTAATGCAGGTACATCCAGATGACGAGTCCCAAATAGGATGAAATGCACGTTATCCTGGAATCCACTGCTAGTCATCATCGACCAATCAACTGATAATCATAATACTTTATTTCAGTGGAGTATAATTCGTAAGACGATTCAAAGGTCACACTATAAAATTTATAGTCATTACATGAAATGAAGAAGTACATCCTATCGTTATTATTCCCTTGCGTTCCGGGTGGAACATAGGACTTCAACAACACATCTCCACTTTGCTCTGTTTTCTGTCGTCCTCTTCAGCCGGGTCCACGGTTGACCATCTCCTTCTCACACGATCTCCTCCATGTCATTCTAGCACTCGTCGTTCCCCACATGCATTCCCTTCAAAGGTCTGGCGTGCGATATCATTCGACAGACTCTCTCCTAAGTTTTTGCCCGATCCATCTCCATTTACACCCGCATATTTTTCGACCGATCGATCCTTGATTACTTTCTTCCTAGACTTTCTCGTCGCTAATTATTTCCCGCTCTTCCTGCTGAGTAGTTGGCTCTTGGTTGGTCTGTTCGCAGCCAGGGTTTCTTGGTGCTAGCTCTTTCTGCATAGCTGACCATTTGATCTTCAGTGTGAAGTGAAGGCAGCTGTTGAAGAAAGTCCTCACCGCATTAGGGCTCTGACTGCCACTAGTGACATCATAATAGCCACTCAATCCCTGATTGTGCCGTTCATTGTTGTCTGGGTGACGAGATAGGAGTTGATTACTGTCTCTGAAGTTGACAATCTCAATAATCCACACCATCTGATAATCCGTCTGCTCTCGCAGATACTCAGCACTTCTCTGCCACATCTTCGTATCATTTTGACTACCTAGGTAGCCTTCCCAGTCAGCTTCATACATTGTACAAGAATTCTACGTCACTATTCTTATTCTTGCTTTCATCGAGAGAAGACACGTTGACTGACTGACTGGCTTCTCGAAAGCTTCCGTCAGCTAGCCTAAGGCATCATTTCGCATTTCTGTGTTTCAAGCGAAGTATACCATTATTGTTAGAATTTCTGCATTTCTAATATATTTACTGTGAGAGGAAGTTTCTCTAGCAGTTCGACAGGTTAAGTGAGGCAGGTTTTCTATCTCCACTCCCAACCGTTCCTTTTTGCCGGCTTTTGGAATCGGTTAGAAAACTACCAAGCTAGTTTACTCGATGAGGAATGCGTAGGCAATATGAGACGAAATAACAAGAAGTTTAAATGTCTGATTTAGGGTGATAAGTTCGAACAATCTTCACTGATACTCAACTATTATTTCAGATTTCCACATATCCTAAGGAAACTATCATCCCAAAGTGCTTCGATGCCAAGAAATCTGCCCAGTCTCTTGATCCCAACAGTGAACCTGCTTTTGTCCCCAAAACGTATGTGGACATTTTATGTTATTCCGTCACTGGCATTTTCAATGAGTTGTTTTCCGCTAACACTGGTCGCAAGGATACTAAAGTTGTTCCTGTACCTAATTCATCGAGGACATCAATTGATAGGCCTATTAGCGTTACCTCACTTTTTGTAAAAATAATGAAAAACTACTTTTACTTAACTCTGAACCTTTATTGAAGTTTTTTGACGAACCTAATCAACTCGCCTCTAAACAAAGTAGGTATACTTTGGATTCCACTGTTGTCTTACATCATAGTCTCGTCTCTTATTTAGACAGAGGTGAGAAATATGTTCTTCATGCCTTCCTGTATTACACGATTAATCTATACTTTGGACTCTGTTACACAGGCTTGGTGCGACCAGTAAGTGGTTGAATTCTTGCTTGTCTGATGGAAGGCAGTACTTTCTTTACAATGGGAAGTCGTGCACTGCATCATTTATTTTAGCCGGTGTTTCTCAGGGTACTAGTCTCCTTTTTCTCTTTCCTCTTAGATGACCTGCTCGAGCCTGATGAAAGTAATTTTGTTAGGTATACGAGTGATATAATGTTTTGCACACCAATTGCTTCTCAGTGAGATTATTGCATTGAGTCATTTCTGTTGCATATGTTGTGTTGGGTGTAGACTCGATGATCGAGGATTCAGTAATCAATCTATCTCTCTCTCCACCTATCTATGTTACAGTTTAAGGTTTTGACTGTGTCCCACCCACCCTATTATATGGTTGTGTGCTGATGCATACAGTGTAATTGCTGAGTATTTTTCAAATTACTTATCCGATAGAGATCAATCACTATAACACTAGCTAAATTTTTGTGTCCCGACAATCTTACTACCCCCAGTCTACTAGTTTGACTTATGTACTTCAATTCTGCTATATGCACTCTAATTGTTTCCGTTTATGGGAATAGTCGTTTTTCCCAGTACGAATCCTTTTGATCTTTTTCTCTCGTTACAGAAAATCCGCAGCAGTTCTTATCCTAATTTTTCATTCATTACACCTCAGTCTACTCGCTAAACCTGTTGGCCCTTTAATGTCATCTCGTAACACACCGAGTGAGGAATTACGAGCAGTATATTATTTTTAGCTGCACAATTTCTTCATAAAAATTATTAAAACAAAAAATAATAAATAAACAAATGATTCAAGCTATCTAATATCAACGGTTCACAATGCATCTTGATGACTTACCACATAGAAATGGAATTCAGTCTGTATTAAAGACAGTATTTGACAAACACATTACAATAATTACTGACTAGTCAGTGTCGAATCCAAAATAAAAGTACGCTACCAAATTAAATTTAAGGTAACTACTGTTTCCTGTTGTATACATAAAACCAGATTTTTTATTCTGATTGCACAGGGATTAGAGAAAATTTAGAGCTATTTTTGTACTAATTTGCCTACTGTGCGTCGGTGGCACAACGGTTAGGACACTCGCCGAACATGCACATGATCCACGGTTCTATCTCCAGCCGATGCACACCTGATCAGATTGCTGGATTTAGGCCACCGATATCCCCTGATGAACATGTCATACTTGTACCAAAATACTGTGTGGAATCAAGCTATAATAAAATAGAAATAAAGCTTTTTTACTTAACGTCACTTTATGGTCATAATTCAGTAAATGTCATGTAAGTGAATTTCTTGAGGATGCCTTAAAAAACTGTAGAGTAATCAGCTGACTCCCCAGCCTTTCAACCGAGGTATTTATGAATTCATTAAATACTACCCTGTTTTTGCCACAGGTATATTGCTTTCCTGTTTTAAAATTCACTACAAGAACAAAAATGTCCTCAGTAATACCAGAAATGGGAATTTAAATGTGTCAACCAATTAGATCATGGTATTTGTCAACCAATGAAATTAAGGAGTCAGGTTGACATTACTCAATATATATTTATATATATACAAGTATTCACTATTTATTAACTTTTGAAATTAACATTTTACATCAGAAAATATAGTTTCAACACAAAAAAGAAGTTGCCCAAGTTATGTGTGATACATCAGCCTCATGTTACTCTAGCTTGTATAAATCAATTAACTTCTCCACACAGTTGAACAGTTCTAAACGTGAGGAATTACTAAGCATTTTTTGGGAAGAATTTGAAGAGTCTAGAAATCAGTCGAAAATTCCCACTGTATTATTTGCAACAACAATTATCATATTTTTAGGAATGATCCTATTCGGTGCATTTGGCAGTAGTTTAGTGATCTATGTTGTCCTGAGAAAACGTTCTATGCGAACACGTGGAAATTTATTCATCTTGAATTTAGCTATTTCTGATTTAACGTTATGCCTTATTACACAACCATTTAATCTGTTAAGATTGTTAACGGGTAACCGTAATTGGGCGCTTGGATTATTTATGTGTAAATTTTCTGCAATGTTTCAGGGGACTAATATATTTGTATCGACAATTAGTATAACAGCGATTGCAATTGATCGATTTCAAGTGAGTCGATGTTAATTTTTTATTATCAGTTTATTTATTACTATTATTATTAATTTATTATTTATTCATCCACTCATTCACGGATAATCCCCATCTAGGCATTAATGAAAATAAAACTTGTAGTTTAACGAAGAGTCACTTTTCCAAGGCGAATTCATTTTCTTAGCTGTACAATCATATATATAAATATGTTATTTTGTATGTATGTGTACATTAAGTTTGTCAGACAAATTTACAATTTGAACAATGCAAGAACAACAATTGTACCAGGATAATATGGGCTCATCTTTCATTATTTCGAAGATTCTTCCCAACTGGTTACAACCTCAACGTTAAAAAATATGAATTACATTAAAGGTTTAAACATACTTCTCCACGATCACAAGGAGTAATTGGTGGGAAATAAAGGTAGCATTAGTTTGGAATGATTTAACTAATTAAGAGTTACAAGCAATGACTATTTATAGAATAATTAGACAATTAGGCTTGGAAACAAAAACAGAGTTGCGTATATATATATATATATATATATATATATATGTATATGTATATGTATATGTGGGTATAGAAACACGGTTTAGCTAGAAAGAATATAACAAAAAAGTAGATTACGTAACTAAAGAAAACATCTTATCTAATAGCCAATAGAAAAAAGGAAAGAAACAAGGTAGGGTGAGTCATGTTTAGATGAGAGAGTAGAGTTTTCAAAACATGAAAAAGGTGACTCATGAAAGTTGTATATTTTTTTTGTTATCACCAGGGCAGTGCAAGATTCACCACTGTCTCTTTCTGTGTACATAGATTTGGTTTAAGTCGTTTGATAGCAATTGCTTCAGCGAAGCGTAGCAAGCTAGGTTTTCATGCTTGTTGATTATTTTGAATGACTTCAGGTTGTCTACAATATGACCAGTGTCCAATAGATGACGAGCAATCTCACTGTTTAATGTTTGCAGACCTTTCAGTCTCAGGTTCTTTGGTATGTGTTCATAAATGCGGACACTAACCCTTCTCTCTGTTCTTCCAATGTATGTGCTTTGGCACGTACAAGTGAATTGATAGACACAGTTGGAGGTAACATGAGGTGGTTATTTGTCCACTTTTGATTCTCTCAAACAACTAATTGTTCGATAAACACATACAAGCTTGGAGGCTGGATATGTTCTTTTCAGGGCAGCGTTCAGTCTGCATTTTATTCTACTAGCAGTATCATCACCTTTGAATGCAAGTTGCAGAAAGATAGGCTTTTTCTCTACTGTGGTGCTTTTTTCTTTTTCAACATGACGTCTCCAATATTTGTCGATGACCTTTTTTGGGTAACCGTTGTCACGTAGGCATCTCTCTACAAAGGTTAGCTCTTCCTCAATCCTTTTTTTTTTGAAAAAACCTTCCTTACATGATCAAATAATGTTATCACAAATCCCTTTTTGTAACTTATAGGGTAGAAGCTTTTGAAGTTATGATAAACCACTATCCAAGTCTCTTTTCTGTGTATATATCTTATGATTTCGCCGTCTATATCTCGTTGGATACCCAGGTGAAGAAAACCGTACTATTCCTCTTTTTCATACTTCATTGTAAACTTAATATTAGGATGGGTGCTGTTTGAAACCTTTAATACTTGAGATGCATCATTAAAAGAATTACAAATCACGAAAGTGTCATCGACATACCTGGCATAGTAGTTGGTCTGATTGATTGTGGATTTTGACCATGTTTGTTCTAAACTACCCATAAAATTATCTGCCAGAATCGGGCCCATTTCTATTGGCTATTAGATAAGATGTTTTCTTTAGTTACGTAATCTACTTTTTTGTTATATTCTTTCTAGCTAAACCGTGTTTCTATACCCACATATATATATATATATATATATATATGCAACTCTGTTTTTGTTTCCAAGCCTAATTGTCTAATTATTCCATAAATAGTCATTGTTTGTAACGCTTAATTAGTTAAGTCATTCCGAACTAATGTTACTTTTACGCCCTAGCAATTACTCCATGTGATCGTGGAGAAGTATATTTAAATCTTTAATGTAATTCATATTTTTTAACATTGAGGTTGTAACCAGTTGGGAAGAATCCTCGAAATAATGAAAGATGAGCCCATATTATCCTGGTACAACTTTTGTTCTTGCTTTGTTCAAGTTTACTAATGTGAAGAATTGGATATGGTTTATAAAATTACAAGTGGTTATGGTTATTTTGACTAAACAGATGAAGATTGGTAAATGGAGTTACGTAATACAAAATCTGTGAAGAAAATGAAATTACGGTAGTAACAAAGGTGAGGAGTTGTTGTAAACAGTTGTTAAAAAAAGAAGTTATGTAATAATATTATTAGTTTGATGATTGAGATTTACTCACGATACACATAGTAACAAAGTAGACAATGCGAAATTACGTAAGAGTTGTAAGTGAATACAAGGATTACAAGCATTTAAAGAACAGGCAAACAAACAAAATGTAGTCAACAATAACAACAAAGTTGTTACCATGACAGTAGAAGTGGTTGAGTAATTCTTTGCTGTATGCACAAACAAAACGAAACCGTATTGCCTTTGATAGGATATTTTTGACTCTGTAGATTACTTTGAAGCAGGAGGTGTTTGTTGAGATGGAATGATCAGTGTTAACCGGGTGTTCAATTATCGAACTCCTTGTTCCATCAATGCTGCCTTAAGCAACCATGCTGGATAGTGTTCTTGAATCCTCGTGGACATGGTGCGCGTCGAACGACATATGTACCTGGCTCCACAGCAGCAGGTGAACTGATATTTGTCCATTGAAATGGTCGAATGCAACGTCTTGTTCTTGAGGCTTCTGTAGATCAGTAGGCGACTGGAGAACACTATTCTTAGCGCTGCTGCAAAGAATGTTCTTCTCAGAGATAATGTGATCCTTCTCTTGAGAATATCGTTTGTTAAATCTCCCTCAAAATCTAAGATCATGTAGAGTTTCTTTTTAGGCGCATGAGAAGTTTCATTTCTACGAATGCTTGGCTTGATATTTTTGTCAATGAATCTTATTAAATCTTAACCATTTTGGATGAAGATTTCTCTCAAAATGTCTAATTCTGTTTCTAGAACATTGGAACTTCAGATGCATCGGATGCGGTTGACAAGTGATTTAGCTAAATTCCTCTTTAATTGATATTTAATATTATTTGATGTGTTGATGTCACAAAGGGAGAATGCTTGCCAACCACGCCTCATAAGTTACGGGGTTCAATTCCCGGCCGCAGACGCACCTCTTTACCTAACTGAGCCAGTAATAAGACTGGTAAAGAGGGAAGGTTGAGCATGAGGCTAAAAACTCCATGCCGTAAAAATAAGCACCACTGTTACCGAAACTTCAAGTCTCTAGCTTGAAGCACCCCTATTGTTCCCTTGGAGACGTATAGGTACAAATAAAATGATAATGTCATTTGAATATCCTCATAAATTACTTTGATCGGAAAAAAGTTAGTAACGGGTGTAATATGTCTGGTCGTTTGTTTTCTGCAGACAAAATTCTTTCAGTCAATTGCACAATGCGACTACCATGCCGAGTGACTGGTCATTACGCTGCATTCTGAATAGTTGGTATTGCATGGTTGGAGGCAATTCACAGGAAGCTTCATGTGATCTAAATTTCTTGCTAGTTGGCAGTCGTTTTGTCGCTTCTGTGCTTTGAACCTGCGTTGCTCAGTGCGGCAGTTCAAGAGGTTACCGCCGAGTTATTTCACCATCTTAAAGGAACAATCTTAGAGTACACAATGACAGCGAGCTCCCTAGCCAAATTTCAAACGTGACTGATACAGTTCAGGGTACATCAATAACACGACTAGACACATTGCACTAATTAATAGTAACTTGTTTCAAATCAAAGTATCAAGGACAGTTCTGCAGGAGGTCAATGGTGACACTGAATCATTTAGTGGTAACGTCTCCTACTACAGCACTCACTGGTTGACGTGGGTCCGAATCACAGAGAGGACATGCATTCCTTCTAGATTTAAGGTATGCTCTTCTGATGAGTGATCTAAGCCTAAAGATTCCTGTATATCGCCTCCGACCAGCTTATATCCCTATGACTGATTCATTAAGAGATAAATTAGAACAAAACTATCTGTTTTCTGAGAAAAATTTCTCCAGATTCTACAATTACTAACTGATTATTGTTAGAATACAGTGGACCAAAAATATGGCGCCAATACCTCAGTGTACTAGAAAGCACTAAACTTCTATTTCGTCCTTTCTAGGGAACTCTTAAGTAGTGCTCGCGAACCAGCGCAGCAGGCATCCAGACTGGGACCACAAGGTTATCGTTTCAAGGTCTTCGACACATACAGCCACTTGGACGACAACTGATTGACCTGTGAAGGTCTCGGGTTTGACCGACATAGTAGTTGTGGGTAAAAACTTCACGACAGTCGCAAACTAGGAGGAACTGAATGACTATGAAGATATTAGATGATTACATCGGAGATGATGTGTACTATATTGAAAATATTGGTATGTTTGGGAAATCAGTCTACACTTGATATAAAACCATAAATTGCTCCTCTATTTTGGTGTTTTGTTCACTATTCGGTGTATGGATAAGGACACACAATTTATAGACATGATTGCTCCTTAATCAAGCCAAAGTGGTACGCGTTCACAAGTGTGTAGGTATAAATCACTGTAACCACAAAAATTAATACAATTTGATTTTTGAAACTGGTATCTGAAACCATTGATAAATATTAAATAAGAGGTACGAGGATATTTTTGTCAGTCATTAGTGAACAATTAAATGCATCCATTGTTATCAATGAGGAAAGTTGTTGGGTGCTTATTTTTATCACCTCTGTCTTCTCTGTGTTCATCTGAAGTTCTGACTTCGGTACACTGTTCGTTTTGCTGACTTGTTAGTTAACGCATTTGGGTCTTCGAGTTCGTGTGATATTAAACATAAGTCCTTACTTAATCCAAAGCGTCTTCTTATCGGTCCAATGTATTTGTGTCTCTTTCCATC